TCCAACATGCACCGAAAATGAGTCTGACTTACTGCCGGCAATGCAAACCAAGCTCCTGCTCTGGTCATACAAGGACTGGACAACCTTTAGCAAAGGGCCCCTGACCCCGTACTCCCGGAGCACCCCCCACAGGGTGCCGCGAGGGACATGGTCAAATGCCTTCTCCAGATCCATGAAATACACATGTGGACTGGTTGGGCAAACTCCCATAAACCCTCCACCACCCTGAAGTGGGTATAGAGCTGGTCCAGTGTTCTGCACCCAGGACGAAAACTGCATTGTTCCTCCTGAATCTGACGTTCAACTATCGGTCGAATTCTCCTCTCCCCCCTCTCCGTTACCCGGGCATAGGCTTTCCCAGGGAGGCTGAGGAGTGTGATCCCCCTATAGTTGAAACACACCCTCTGGTCCCCCTTTTTGAAAAGAGGGACCACCACTCCGGTCTGCCAGTCCAGAGGCACTGCCCCCAACCACCACGCCATGTTGCAGAGGTGTGTCAGCCAAGACAGCCCACAACCTCCAGAGACTTAAGGTACTCAGGGCGGATCTCATCCACCCCTGGTGCTTTGCCACCAAGAATCTTCTCAACTACCTTGGTGACTTCAGCTTGGGTAATGGACAAGTCCCCCCCAAGCCCTCAAGCCTCTTCCTCCTCACCGGAAGACGTGACGCCGGGGTTGAGGAGATCCTTGAAGCATTCCTTCCACCGTCTGATGATGTCCCCAGTCGAGGTCAACAACTGCCCACCTCCACTGTAAACAGTTTTGGCAGGACACTGCTTCCCTCACCTTACGGCCACAGCTCCGAGCGGCCGCATCAGCAATGGAGGTAGAGAACATGATCCATTCGGACTCGATGTCTCCAGTCACTCTCGGGACCTGGTTAATCAACACCCCCCAAAGCGGCGGTTTTCTGGTTCTGCCGTTACCCGTCAGCTGCCTCAGGAGTCCCACGAGCCAACCAGGCTTGAAAGGTCTCCTTCTTCAGCTTGACGGCATCCCTTACTTCCAGTGTCCACCACCGGGTTTGGGGATTGCAGCCACGAGAGGCACTGGAGACCTTACTGCCACAGCTCTGAGTGGCTGCATCGGCAATGGAGGTGGAGAACATGGTCCATTTGGACTCAATGTCTCCAGTCTCCCTCGAGATCTGGTCAAAGCTCTGCTGGTGGTGGGAGTTAAAGATATCCCGGACAGAGGGTTCTGCCAAATGTTCCCAACAGACCTTCACAATATGTTTGGGTCTGCCGAGTCTGTCCAGCTTC